ACAGTCAAACAGACGAAAGCAGTGGAAGCGACAGTCAAACAGACAAAAGCAGTGGAAGTGAAAGACGAAAGCAGTGGAAGCGAAACAGACGAAAGCAGTGGAAGCGAAACAGACGAAAGCAGTGGAAGCGAAACAGACGAAAGCAGTGGAAGCGACAGTCAAACAGACGAAAGCAGTGGAAGCGACAGTCAAACAGACGAAAGCAGTGGAAGCGACAGTCAAACAGACGAAAGCAGTGGAAGTGACAGTCAAAGAGACGAAAGCAGTGGAAGTGAAACAGACGAAAGCAGTGGAAGTGACAGTGAAACAGACGAAAGCAGTGGAAGTGACAGTGGTAGAATGAAGAGCTGAACACAGAGAGGTGGATTAATAACAATAAATGAATACTAAGATTTCTTACAGCCAGGATCTCCTTGCTGGCTCCTCTCAGCAGGATGGTGCAGGCTTTCGGGTCTTTACACTCGGTGACGAAGGCAAAATACTCGTCACCGATCTTCTTCACTTCAAACAGACCCGCCCCAGTACCCACGTCTTCCTCACGCAGCTCGTCAGTCCGGCTGGCGATACGAGCCCCGCACGCCCTGAGAGAGAGAGAAACAGACAGAGTTTACTCAATGCGTCTGCTGAGAGCCGATTGGCTGCTCCATGTGTCTGCTGAGAGCCGATTGGCTGCTCCATGTTTACCTGGCGATGCGGTTGTTGTCAGTCTTCCTCACCCGGCGGATGGCGGTGATGTTTGCCTTCATCAGGTAATGCTGAGCCAGATCTGAGAGGACACACCAACAGTTAGATGTGTGTGTGATGTGTGTGTAAGTGTAATGAGTGTGTAATGTGTGTTTACCTGAGATCCCCTTCTCAGTGAACAGCAGGTCTGGTTTCAGGCGGATCACGTCCTCACAGATGTGCTGAATGTATTCTTCCTCCATCTGCAGGATTCTATTAAAGTCCTCCTCCTTATTGATCTCTATGTCAGTCTAACACACAACACAATATTATTATTATTATTATTGTTGTTATTATTATTATTGTTGTTATTATTATTATTGTTATTACCTGGCTCTCCCCCTTCTTGTACTCCAGAGAACAGTCCAGCAGGATGATCCGAGGTTCTTTGATGAGACGTCTCATCCGAGGATGAGTGACGTCTTTATTCACCATCACTCCTCTGAGCACACAAGAGTCCTCTATGATCCCCCCGGGAACCTGAACACAACAACGACGTTTACCACAGGAACCTGAATACAACGACAACAACACCACCACACTTGAGAGGCAGACAGGAAGTTGTACCTTCTCCACTTTGGCGTACTTCTTGATGTCGATCTCTTTGCGTCCGTTGTCCTCCAGCTCGACGGTGCGGACGGCGTCCAGAGCGATGCCACAGGCCAGTTCAGACCAGCGGCTCAGAGCTTTGGTGTTGATGGCGGAGTGGACGATCTTCAGCATCATGGAGCGGTCAGACGTGTCCACAGGGGAGCTGAGGACAGGAGGTCAAACGTCAATCAGATGGTTCAACCACTGAAGACACTGTGTGTACAGACACACAACATGGAGGTCTGTGTGTGTACCTGAGGTCCTTCAGGGTCTCCAGCATGTCCTCCAGAGCTTGTCTGTAGGCACTGATCACCACCGTCGGGTGCATCTGCTGCTCCAGGAACTGTTCAGCTACAGACAGCATCTCACCGGCTGCGCGCACACACACACATACACACAGTCATGTACTACTCCTACTAATAGTACTACTACTACTAATAGTACTTACTACGACAGAACTCACCCAGGATGATGACAGACGTGGTCCCGTCTCCCACCTCTTCGTCCTGTGTGCGGCTGATCTCGATCATGGACTTGGCTGCAGGATGCTGGACCTGGATCTGTTGACATGAAGACAAGTTCACCCCGCCGGCAATAACACGTTCACCCCGCCGGCAATTACACCTTTATCTCGCCGGTAATAACATAACACGTCTATCTCACCTCTCTGAGGATGGCGTTTCCATCGTTGGTCATTACGATACCTCCCATAGGGTCGAGCAACATCTACACACACACAGAGACACACACACTGATCAATAAACATGATGCAGCTATAAACCAGTTATTACAGACAGGCTTATTGATGAGTGTGAGGTCTGACCTTCATCATGGCCCGAGGGCCGAGGCAGGTCCTGATGACATCAGCGATGGTCTGAAACACAAACACTCTTCATCATCACTGTGACCATTAAACCAGCACCATCACTGGTTCCTCCACCAGTTCAAACACCACTTCATACGTTTTAACAACTTTATGAATGAATGAATATATATATATATATATATATTTGTATACATGTACACCTGCTTGCATCCGTGTGTATTTCTTTAAATTCTTGATGAATCTTTCATGTTTTAAGTAAAATCTCATAAAAAAACTTAATAAATAATTAATCAACTGCTTCATTGAATGCGTCTCCCTTTTTTGTCATGGCCGTTCGGCCCGGTTTGTAACAGACCCACCTTGGCAGCGTTGATGTTCCCGGTCTGGACTTTACGTCCTGACTCTCTCTTCATGTTGTGGTCTAAAGACAAGAAACAGGAAGTGAGACCACAACACACAGAGTATTGATGGCAAGAGGACCATACAACTAATTTGAGAGAACAAACCATCATGTTTTAAAGTCCATCGAGTCTCAACATTCAGTGATGAGAGATCAATACACATTCATGATTATTATTAAACATCAGCTGAAGCAGGTAAAACAGGAAGTAACTAATCAATAAATATGAGCTGATGAGGTCATCAATGGATCAGGAGCCCTGATCAATGTTTCGTATCAGAAGACTTCATCTTTGGAATGAATACGCAGCATTTAAACAGACATTATTGTAACATGAATCCATCGATCAGTGATCGATAGAACACGTGATCGATCACTGAGGGCGTGGCCGCCTGAACAAAATAATTGAAACTGCAACCCCGACAGCATGCTAACGTTAGCTTAGAGGAACTACATTCAGTCTAAACGGTGCAGTCACACCGCTAATAGCGTTTATATATACTTAAAGAAGAGGAGCCGTTAAAGTTAAATAAAGGCCCAAATTAAAAGGTGCAGTCACACCGCTAATAGCATTTATATATACTTAAAGAAGAGGAGCCGTTAAAGTTAAATAAAGGCCCAAATTAAAAGGCTTTATTAACGAATCATGACGTCATAATTTACACGTTATCTGATAAAATGAGTAAAAAGTTAATGGAGTCTGGAACGAGACACGCTTCATAATTAAGCTATGATGAAGCTAGCATTAGCATTAGCTGACGAACTAGCAGCATTTTAATGCCGAGTAACGACGGTGTGCTAGCTTAGCTTTAGCATGTCTCGCCACGATTTAGAACATACGACACGATGCTAACGATGTTAACACCGGCTAGGTTTAGCTAGCCTGGCACATGTCTCCTTTGTGTCTCAAACGGCTACGCACCGGGTGCCATGTTGAGCCCCGCGGTTAAACATGACTTTAGACGTTATAACGTTTTATTTAAATGATTCGTTTTACTTACTGAGCACTAAAACCTGCTGGCCCATCATCTTGACAGCGCGTGCAGGACAGTTTGTGGAATGGAAGGTTCTGGGACGCACGAGAAGAGGGAGGGATCAACCCGCTGGGGCGGGAAGACAACCACGAGCCTGACCAATCAGCTGAGAGGAATCGATATGATTGACAGGCGCGTCCACCAATAGAATCAATGAGTTAAAACTAAGATCAGCCTTCTATGAAAACCAACAAGATGGTCCTTGATTGTCTTCATATTATATATTAATATATATTATATTCTAATATATAATATGACATTAAATATTAATGTATTATATTATACATAATATTAATATATATTATGTATATTACAGTATATTATATATATTTAGTATATTATAGATTGTCAGTTTAGTTTGTGTTAAAAACATTTAAGGATTTCTATAACAATAAATATAATTTACACAGTATTTATTAGAAATACTTCTCACTGATGACATACTTTAACAGGTTTATCACATGTTTTATTGATTAAAGTGTTTATTCATGTTATATTTACACTTATAGATTTAATGAAGTATAATTTAGTTTTGTTCATTGTGATATTTATTATTTTAATAGAAACAAATATCTTCACATAATGAGAAGTTAAGAAGAATCACAGATTTAAGAGAAAAACTTTATTATGATATTAAATCATGAAGTTTTATTAAATACTAAATATATAAAGAAGCTCTGCTAATATTAAAATACACAAACAAATAAAAAAACACAATGAAATCAATATAAATAAAAAACAATGAAATCGATCAATATAAATAAAAAAACACAATAAAATCAATCAATATAAATAAAAAAACACAATGAAATCAATCAATATAAATAAAAAAACACAATGAAATCAATCAATATAAATAAAAAAACACAATGAAAATCAATATAAATAAAAAAACACAATGAAATCAATATAAATAAAACACACAATGAAATCAATCAATATAAATAAAACACACAATGAAATCAATCAATATATATAAAACACACAATGAAATCAATTAATATAAATAAAACACACACAATGAAATCAATTAATATAAATAAAACACACACAATGAAATCAATTAATATAAATAAAACACACAATGAAATCAATATAAATAAAAACACACAATGAAATCAATTAATATAAATAAAAACATGATGAAACAACCAAGAACCCCTGTCTGTCATTCTGTGTTGTGTTGAAATAAAGATATATTTATTGATTGATCGTTTGATGAACGTCCTCTAGATCAGAAGTCCTCAACCATTTTTGCGCCACGGACCGGTTTCATGTAAGACAATATTTTCACGGACCGGCCTTCAAGGTGTGATGTTCCTGATGTCCAGTCTACTCCGTTTAGTTTTGGTTTCCGTCACTGCAGAACATCTCGCTTCACAGAGAGGATGTGTGAAATGGAAGCAGGGTTTCAGTGCTTTAGTGGTGATCTCAGGATATTCAGCCTTGATTTTAATCCTAAACACCAGCAGAGTTGTTGTCTCAAACATACTTTTAAGCCCACCGTCATTTACAACCTCCAGCAGCTGATCTTCCTGTCGCCACATGTTCTGCAGAG